CCGTGCGTGTGGGGCGCGGGGCGCGGGCCCCCGCCGTCGGGGCTGGCCTTCCAGTGACCCGGATGGGCAGGTGTCTGGAGACTCCGACGTCTCAGCGAGGCACGCGGGGATCCCAGGACGCGCGTCCGGGGCTTCCCTGGCAGTTTGCGGGCGCGCTCTGCCTCGCCCAGGGGGTCCGGCTGCCCTTGGCGCCGTGGTCTGCACCGCCTGGACCCGCGTAGATGCCGTAGTCAGTCACCCCTGGGGTGGTATACCTGGGCCCTTCCTCCGAGCCTGGCGCTCAGGGAGAGAATCCAGGTGGGACGCCAGGTGGGGGTGGCCTCCCACGGCTGCCTGGGCGACGCCCCACTCCCGCGAGGCCGCATTCTTCCCAAACGACCCCACGCCGGAGAGCGAAGCTGTGTGGGGGACACGGAGTGGGCATCTAGCCCAGACTGCCAATTCACAGAACCCCGTTGGACTTCCCGGCCCTTCTCCCAGGGCCCTAGCTGGCTACAGCGGCCTCGTGTCCCTCTCTGTCTCCTGCTTGTACCGCCCCTCAGATCTCCTAGCGGCCGTGTTCCCCGACTCCAGGCTTGCACCTCCGCTCCGCTTCGCGCTGCGCTCGCACACCGCCTGCGGGGAGTGGTGGGAAGCGGTTTGAAGCGCACCGTCATTGTGGCATACCGCAGAGTGTCGCCTCCCCAGCACAGGGGACAGCTGCTTTAGTGTTCCTCCAACGACGGAGCATGTGCTGTGAGCTTCAGGAGGAGTCGCCGTATCAGTAAAAAGATGTGGCGATCAAGAACTTTTGGAGCAGCAGGGAGAGCAGAGGCGGGGCGGCGAGGTGGGCTGGTGTGGACAGCCCCCGGGGCCAGCCCTGGGGTGCAGCAGTAAAGCTGTGCTGGAGCGAACCCGGTCTCACATGACCAGCCCAGTTGCCATCCCAGGTGGAGGGGGAGTGAGTACCTGAAGATCCCAGGGGCTGGAGCGTGGAGGGCCACGAGACCCTGACCAAGGTCCACCAGGGCCACTGTGGGCTCTGGTTTCCCTAACTGCTGAGCTACTGGTCTTTAAAATGTAAATTTCAGGAGCCTGCAGGTGGCATAGTGGTTAAGGTGCTGGACCTCCACATACATGATCAACTATGGTTTGAGTCCCAGACCCAGAGGATTGAAAATCAGGCCAGGCTTGTGTATGCATGTCCAAAATCCTAGGGGAATGAAGGGGAAGGGATTGTCCCGTGGCCATCCCTCCTGGGGCATGATTTCTCACTTTCCCTCTCACTGTCTCTCGCTGTCTCTCCAGAGCTTGCACACACCCTATGGCAAAAACCTTAAAAGCATGTAAATTTTATAGTATGTGTATTACATGAGAATTTTAGGGTCTTG